ACAAAAATAGGGTGAACTAGAAGAGGGGTCGAGGGTGGGAGGAAGGCTGTATGGTCGACCATGCTGAGTATCCACCATGCATGGCCCAGGGTCCCCAGCGCTGTCTAAAGACAATATCCAAGACGGAAGCATACTTTTATTATTTAAAGTTACAGTGGTAAATACCAGAAGACTGAATGAACAGAACCTGTTAAAAGTGGAAGGGTGATTTAATAACCACTTCACATAATTGTGAATATTCTTCTTTGATACTATAGCAAAAGTCAACAAGTGGTGGTTTCTTAAACTTTAGCTGCAGTGTTGAATCTGAAACATCAGTGACCTTTCTGTACTCTGTTAAATTGAAATGGATTGGACTGGTCTGTCTTGCACTTTGCATGGATTTTTCACCTCTGCATAATTTTGTAACATTATACATTAGGCATTTGGAAAATACAGTACAGTGAATTATGCAGCTCTTCCAAATGTTGACATATTTCATTGTACAATGTCAGCAACAATGAAGCTGTGAGCTCATGATGGGCAGTTACAAGCTTTCCAAGCCCTGTACTTGGGAGAACATGAGTTTACCTCTGTGATTTAAAGAAGGTTATTCCGTGGATGTAGTTAGTAGAGAGACGAATGATGTTGCCGGGTGCTTGGACATTCTGGGGAACTGTGGAGAGTTCCTATCTAGGAGTTTGTCTTTGGCCGTCTCCATGACTTCAGTGGCAGCTGGTGGCCGTGCTAATTCAGCCTCCTAAGCTGGGTGTGCAGTGCGGCCTCGTCTCCAGGAAGCGCACAGCCTCTCCCATTCTGCCCCCAGGGCTGCGGAAGGTGGTGGCAGTAGTCTTGGGACCCACACCCTTCCCCTGGACTCCGTCCAAATTTGGCCCATTCTGGGTGGAATAGGGCAATATTGATTTTAAGAATTACATCCTTTAATAAGATCTATGTGGTGTTCCTTAATTAAGCACCCCTTTGTCAAGAAAAAAAGCTAATAGACTTTGAGAAAATCAATACCCTGAACCATATACTTAACCAGCCTTCTGGAGCCAGAAGCTGCATGTCAGTGTCCTCAGAAAAGGTGGTAGCAAAGCGGAGCCTGAGGAGGAAGAAGCAAGGACAGCGATGGGAGGAGCCGGAGGCCCCAGGAGCGATGCCCTGGCTGGGAGACAAAGGCTGACGGAGGGTGATCTGGACGGGACAGGCATCCTATGCAAAGCGAGGCCCGGGGAGGCGAGGGGAGAGAACCCAAGCAAGAGGAAGATGAGATGAGAAAGGGTGAGGGGTGGCACAGGAGGCCACGGGCAGGGGCCACAGCAGCTGCTGTGTCGCAGAGAAGGAAGCGTATAAACTCAAAATCAGGATGTCGCCGCCTTGAGAATCCCCAGTGGAGCCCACAGTCGCTAGCATCCCTGAGAGCCTAATGGTGTCATGGAACGCATTCCTAAAATGCTTTCTAAAAGCTTCCCATCAACACCCAGACAAAAAAAGGTTAATCCTCGTGTTTAACCCTGGATCAGCTGGGGGCATTCTCTTATTTAGAGCGGCTCATTCTTCGGAGTTACCAGATAACTTGTGTGAGGGAAGCAGTGGGCCAAGTGGGCTGGAGCTCAGTGTTTGCAGGGGTTTCAGCCGCTTCAGTATCGACTGAAGGTTGATTTTAAAATTCAGATCCTGCCAGTGTGGCTAGTGAACTGTAGAGGAGCGTGGAGTTGGCTTCAGCGGGGAATAGGGAACACACATGTCAGCCAGGTGAGGTTGTCCAGAAACTGTATTCTATGTAGCAAGACTGTGCTTGCCTGACAATCAGGTGTCCATCAAAGTACATGTTCAAAACGTGGACATCGGGGATGTTGTAAAGAGCCCTGGCTCCGAGGGAGGCCGTGTGCTAGAGACTGTTAGAGAGGAGACCCGGGAAAGGGCGTTGGGAGCAGCTCCAGGGCATGGAGAGGCTGCACGTGCTGCGCCCGGATGCCAGGGCCCTACCTTGCGGCCACCCCTGGGATAACCCCATCCCTCACCCCGCCTCAACCCCCACCCCCACCCCAGCGGGAAGGCTGAGCCTGGACCCTGCATCTCTGTGGTTGAGGCGGATCAGATCGTGGGAAGAAACAAGAGTGGGTTCTCACAGCTGATGCATCTTTGATCTGAAATGCTATTTTCTTTGGTGTTTTTCCTCTTCCCCCAAGACTTTCTCTGGGGAAAAAATTGCTTTTGTGTTTTGCTTTTATTTGTCTCTCATCCGACACCAGGGTTTTGTTATAATTTGTAAACCTCTTAGGAACACACCTTCCTCCTTGCATTTTGTAACCTAGAGCCGGGGAGATGCCGGGCCCGGGTGGGAACTGTTGATAAGAAAATAAAGTCCTGTTTGTTTCTGCGATCGGCAGTATTGAGTGTTTGCTTCTTCCTGATCCTCTGAGGTTGGTTAGGGGCGAGAGGCACAGATGGAAGCATATAGGGCTTTCTATCTCCCTTTTGTATTTTATACAGTTTTAGTTCTGTGTGGGTTTTTGGGAGGGTGTGGGGCGGGCTGCCATTTGAAAGAACTTTCCACAATACTAAACAACACTTGGCTCTTTCTTTTTACCTTATTTATTTATTTATTTATTGTTAATCCTTGCCCCAGGATATTTTTCCGTTGATTTTTAGGGAGATTGGTAGAGAGGGACAGAGAGAAAGAAACATCGATGTGAGAGAAACGCATCCATCGCTTGGTTGCTTCCTGCAGGAGTCCCTACCTGGGCCGGGGAGGAGCCTGCAACCGAGGTATGTGCCCTTGACCAGAATCGAACCTGGTACCCTTTGGTCTGCAGGCCGACACTCTATTCACTGAGCCGAACTGGCTAGGGCTACCTTATTTATTTTATTTTATTTTATTTTATTTTATTTTATTTATTTTTAAATATATTTTTATTGATTTCAGAGAGGAAGGTGAGAGAGAGAGAAAGAGATAGAAACATCAATGATGAGAAAGAATCACTGATCAGCTGCCTCCTTCCTGCACGCCCCACACTGCATTGCCCTTGACCGGAATCGAACCCAGGACCCTTCAGTTCACAGGCTGACGCTCTATGCACTGAGTCAACCAGCTAGGGCTGGTTATTTTAATGGTATTCCTCCCACCCCCTAATATAGGCGATAATAACAGATAAGTAAATCACCCTTGGTTTATTAGCCTAGAGTTTTCATCTCTAAGGTTAATATTTTATCTCTGTGTACTCAAGGCGTGGGGGGCCCTGGAATGAGGGGAGTCACTCACTGCATGGCTTTACCACTGACTGCAGGCTTCACAGGCTTACGTGTTTTGGTGGCCATGCTGCCTTCCAGTTGTAAAATCACTACCCACAGATGGGTTAGCCTATCCTCCACCCTCCTTTTTACGTAGATTTTAGATATGTCTCCAGATCAGTCAGGGTCCAGCAGGAAGTAGAGGGTGCGGCTGAAAGGATCATGTTATAAAGGGACTGTTTCTGTAGGGCTTAGGGGCGACCTTGGGGAGCAGGCACTGGAACTAGGAGGACGGTAGCTGTGACAGAGGGTGGGGCTGTGACAGAGGGCGGGGCTGTGACAGGGGGCAGGGGCTGTGCCTTCGGTGTTCCAGCCACGGCCCGGCTGGAAAGAGGCCAGGGCGCCTCTCATTGGCTGAACCCAGCCAGAGGACAAGCCAGGGTGCAGAAGAGGGAAAGAGGATTTAGAGGGGCAAATAGGCAATATTCGGCACAATCTCTTATTATAATTGCTTATTAAAATTAAAAATAACAATGAGTACCTGGCTGGTGTGCTCAGTGGTTGAGCATCCACCCATGAACCAGGAGGTCATAATTCGATTCCAGGTCAAGGCACAGTAGGGGGAGTGCAGGAGGCAGCCGATCAATGATTCTCTCTCATCATTGATTTTTCTATGTCTCTCTTCCTCTCCCTTCTTCTCTCTGAAAATCAATAAAAACATATTTAAAATAACAGTGCTTATTAAGCCAGGATAGTTTAGTGCCCAAACTCTGTACTCATTGACTTCTTTGCACTAAGTTGTACCTAAATGTAGTAAAGGGATGATGTCAATGGCAGAGGTATTTATTTTACATGAAGATAGAAGTGAATTAGAGCTATGGAGGGAAACTTCACAGTGGTTGAGATTACAGGGTCTCTCAACCACATAAAAGTATTCAGAAAGATCTCAAAAGATTGCTACCTTCTAGGGACAGATGTTGATTGCGAGATGACACAACAGAATTTTGGGGGGTATTGGGAATGCTCTATATCTTGATATGGGTGGTGGTAAGATTTATTCGCACTACTCTACATATGTGATACAGTCATTTAAATGGAATACAGTGACTGTTTTTGTAGGATTTAGGGAAGCCCTACTGTTGCCAGCACCAGAGATAACATTTTTAAAAAATTGCAGACAGTTTTTACACTTCCCACAGTCTGAGTTCTGATCCTGTCTCTGTCACTTCCTGGGTGACCTTCGACAGGTTATTTGACCTCTGTGCCTCAGTTTCCTCCTTTGCAATGTGGGGAGAACACTATTCCTGCCTTCAAAGGTTGTCGTGAGGATTCGGAAAGCCAGCATTAGGAAGGCACTTAGCCCAGCGTCTAGCACACGGTGGTCACTCGGTAATGGTTAGCTATTTATATTAAAGTTAATATACTTGTTTCCCCTAAAATAACGGATTTCTGCTAGGCTCTAGGTACCATTGTTACTTCTTTTTCTCTGTTTACTCAAACTTCAAATCCTGCCAGTTCATCCTTTCATGCAAGAAGATACCAAGCCTGAGCTAGACACGTGCTTACAGCTTCCGTCCGAAGCGTATTCTAATGGGAGGGAGGCACAGAGGCCATTCCCTGCGCTTCTTACAGCTCGCTGGTGGTTTCCTGGCCGCGCGGTACTCCGAGGGGATGCAGATTCCTCGAGTCCCCGAGCAGAGATGCTGCGTTTGCAGACCCCTCACCTGGGAGGAGCCTCGAGGGGTCCTTCAGTGTCCTCACCATTTGTTTCATGGTTGGTACAGGCCTTGGTTAACTGGGACCCCGTGGACCAAACAGTGCTGGCCAACGAGCAGGTGGATGAGCAGGGCTGTTCGTGGCGCTCCGGAGCGAAGGTGGAGCAGAAGTACCTCAGGCAGTGGTTCCTCAAGACAACTGCTTACGCAAAGGTGAGTGTGGGCCCACAGGCTCCCCACTAATGCAGGCTCCCCACTAATGTGTGCACGTTGGCGGGCAGCACCAACGACCAACGCCATATGCATAGATGACCCCCAGTTCTCTCACTCAAAAGACGTTTCTTTCTTTCTCCCCGCCCCCCCCACCCCCCCGTTTTCCCCTCGGTTAAAAGATGTTTCTTAAATGAGGCTATTTTTCCATTATAATTTATTCAGAACACAACTGAGAATACGTATGGATTTGGGAAAGTACTCACTGGAACTGGTTAGCACAGTGCTATTGAGAGACCGGAGGAGAAGCACAAGGCTGAGGACCTTGCTCTCTCTAACTTCCCGGCAATGGGAGCCCCTCTCTGCTGACAGGCAGCCCCAGATGCGTCCATGGCTCTGTAGCAGGCGTTGTGGAAAAGCCACCTAATTAGCTCTTCTGTTTTGACCTCTGCTTCAAGTTGGAAATGTAATAACCTAACTGAGGGGCATTATTCTTTAAATTGTCAGCTGTGAATTTTCAGCTGTTCATCAGAAACGCTAGTTACCATGGTGACTTGCTGGGTTCTTGCTGAACTCCTGTGCACATTTATTGAAAAAGCTGTCTTTGGAGGTCAGCACTTGGTCTGCCCTGAAAATCAGAAGAAGTGGGAGTGGTAGGAGTGGGCAGAAATCTATGTTCACTGCAGGCTCTTGGCTGAGGGCTGCATGGAGCAAGGCTCCATAAGGCCCAATGATGGCTGTGGGACCGAGAGAGAGCAGAGCTACCAGGGTTGCACGGTGCTCAGGGACCTTGGAGTTAGGGCCCAGACGAAAGTCTGCATTTGACACCCCCACAAAGCCATATATTAGACATATAGGTAACACTCTAGGAATGAGGACAAAATTAAAATAGACTCATCTTAGTAAAAAAAAAATTAAGCCTGACAGGTTCACAAGGAACTTTTAGAACAAAATTCAACACCTTTAAAGGGAGACAGCATAATCCAGACTCCCTGCAAGGTTGGTTTCACCTGTGATGTTCAACATGTAATGAAAAATGTCCAGCTTTGTAGAGAATCAGGGAATGTGACCCATAGTCAAGAAAGTTTAAAAAGGCCTAGAAATAAAAATTTCAAAAAGGCAATAGTTCCTGAGATGACCCAGAAGTTGGAATTAGGAAATGAAGTCAGAGGCATCTATTATATAACTGATCTGGAACTTAAAGGAATAGATGGTCATAATGAGTGAACAATGGGGAATCTCACAAGAGAAATGGAAACTATTCAAAACAAATGAACACTGGCAGTCTAGAACAGAAAAGTACGGTATCCGAAGTGGGAAATTTCCCTGTTTAGGACGCAGGCAGGCGAGCAAGGGTTAAATGGGCCATAAAGCTGGAGGGGAGCCTCCCAAATAAGGAACAACCATGTGTGGTGACCCTAAAGCAGAAATCTACCTGACAGTTTGAGGAGCTGAAAGAATGTGAGGGAAGGGAATATCGGAGAGCAGAGAGCGAGGAGAGGCAGGGCTGGCAAAGCTGGGGCAGTGGTGAGGGGCCCATCAGGCAGGGCCTTTAGGTCTTCAGGAATTTGCACTTTATCATGGGGGCCCCGGGAAACTCTCAAAGGATTCTGAGGAAGGGCATGGCATGGTCCGATACGTGCTTTTATTTTTATTGATTTCAGAGAGGAAAGGAGAGGAAGAGAGAGAGAGAAACATCAACGATGAGAGAGAATCAATTGGCTGCCTCCTGCACGCTCCCTACTGGGGATCAAGCCCGCAACCCAGGCACGTGCCCTTGACTGGAATGGAACCCGAGACCCTTCAGTCCACAGGCCGACGCTCTATCCGCTGAGCCAAACCGGCTGGGCCAGATGTGTGCTTTTATAAACTCGCGTGGGAGGGGTGGGTGACTGACTGCTGCTTTATCTGGAACGCAGGAGCTTCCTTGGCATCCCCAGCAAGAGCCCACTGCGTGCTTTCAGCCCCAGCTCAGCCGTGTCCCGTAGCTGCTCCGGCATCGAGGGGCCCAGGAAAGCGGGCTCGGCTTTCAGCCTCTGCAGTCACGGGGCTGGGGGAGGGGTGGGAAATGGGGCTGGGTGGCCAGGAGCTGTGCCCCACCGTTATCTTTAGGGCTTTGTATCTGCACCTGATTTGGCAGCTCTGCGGGCTCCGAGTGCAGCTGGTGGTCTGCTCGGGAACATGGCTGTGGCGCAGCCTTTCATTCACTTAACTTCCAAATTATAAAGACGGTGCCTGATGTGAAAATTACAGGGAGCCCTGGAATAGAAAAATCGCCTCATTAAGGCTGTTCTGTGATGTATTTGATTTCTCTCCCCTCACCCCCCACCCGGCGTTTGCTAGGCTTGTCTGCTTTGTGAGACATGAAAAGTGCTTTCAGCCACACGCTCCATGGAAGGAGACCTGTGGTGGGAGCAGCTGAGGAACAGCTGAGACGTGTGGGAGGAATCTGTGGGCCGCGCTGGAGGGGAGGGGCATGGAGCCTCACATACAGAAAGTGAAAGGCTCCGAGTGTGGTGGAGCCAACGCCCGGTTCCCGACAGCAGGTGACACCCGGAAGCGACCTCGGCTTCCCACTTGAGCTTTTCTAAGGGATCCGTGGTTTTGATTTCTGCGGCTGCCTCCTGTGGCCCCCGAGGCTGTTTCCTCGCAGGGCCCGGCTCACGGGCACTATTCCTGGGCTCCTCCTGGTGTTACGATGGACAGAACCACGCCCCAGTGGTGCGTAGTCCGGCCCACGGTGGTGGTTATAGTTTCCAAGTTTTCAGGAACTCCCTGGCGACTGCTGGGACATGAGCAGGTCCACACCTTCCACTCCTCCCTGCTTGCCCCGATCCGGTCAGTGCTCAGGCCTTTACCTCACCATCTTATTTAACGCTGACATCAGTCCTTCGAGGGCGGCCCTCCTATTAGTCCCATTTTACTGATGAGGAAACTGAGGCTCACACTGCTAATACGTAACAGCACTGGGATTCCAGTCTGAGTGCCTGAGCTCTTAATGGGCAGTCTGTACCGCGTCTCAGGTCGTCTGAGTTCGTCCATTCTTTCCCCAGATGTTACTGAGTGCCTGGCCAGCCCCCGGGCGAGGTGCTCAGAATACAGAAGAGCACAGCGAGGTCCCTGCTCTCACGGAGCTTGGAGGCTAGTGTGGGAGACAGTGGCAGACGGGAGCAGCCACAGCCCAGGGGGATCATGCCACCTGCAGGACAGTGCATGGGAGGCCAGGAGGAGCCCGGGTCTGCCCAGGGGCTGGGAAGGCATCATGGAGGAGGTGAGGAGACAGGGAGTGCAGGATGTCTGCAAGGGAGCCCTCTGTTCCCTTCCAGACGTGCAGGAAACTCACGCCTCGCAGTATTTCTAAGGACAGTTCTGTTGGCCAGAAGCAGAGGGGCAGCCATGAGCCCTTATGAAGTCAGGGGGACGGGAGGTACTATCCCCCCTTCCCTGCCCCCCATGTGTCTCTTGATTTCACCTGTGACCTTGCCGGTGAAGTAGAGGTGCCTTTGGAAGAATGTACCGGTCCTGTTTGGGCCTGCAAAGAGTGAAGGTAGGGGCTGGAGAGATGGGGAGGGAGGGGAAGTGGGGGTGCGAGGCAAGAGCTTGTGGGGAGGCAGAGGAGGAGGATGGAGCAGGAGGAGCAATGGGGCAGGTACGTCTCCAGCCGCGCCCCTGGGGCCTGAGAGTCCCCGGCACTCTGGAAGCCTTGGGCAGCCTGGTTCCAGTCCTGAGCCCGGAGTGGCTCGTGAAAGCGTCTGGCTTTCTCTGGGAAATTGGGCCTGTTCCCTGGCAGTCCCAGACCCTCCCTCGGCCCCGGAACAGAGGCTGGCTCACAGGTACTGCCAGGAAAGGCCTCCGGTAACAACAACCGTCACCTGCCCCGCCCAGAAAGCGTAGCAGATGGACTGGTCAGTGAGGTTGGCGACTTGGCCCCACCCTGCCTCCTGCCTCCTCCCGTGTGTGCAGCCTGGGTCTTCCCATGTGTGCGAACAAGGGCGATATTGGCTGAGGGTGCAGTTTCTGAGAACCAAGAGGAGCAAGTGAGAAAGGTTTAAGGAGCCGTCAGCTCCTCTGCAGGGTGTTGGGATAAAGGCCGTGAGGACTCGGGCGGAGCCAGACTTCATGTGGTCATGCTCGGGTTCCCTCTTACCAGCCTCAGGGCCTTAAAGCGATTACTGCCTTCATCTCCACCACGTCCCTCTGTGGTCATTCTGGGCTGGGGGTGGCCTCATGCACCCCCCCCCTTGTAACTCCCGAGTGGCAGGGAGCCCCAGCCGCTCAGCTCTGGCCCCGGCTGGCACTTTCAGCCCCGAGTGAGCGTCCTGCCGGAATCACTGTCTCTTCTAGAAACAGCAGAGGCTTCTGTCCTGGGATCGGTTCACGCTCCCTGTCGCACGGAGCGAGGGAGCTGTTAGCCTGCTCCTTCTGTGTGATATCTTCTCTCCTCTGTAACCTGCCACTCCAGGATCTTTCCTCTCCTAAGCCTGAGGGTGAACGCAGTTCACCTCCCATCCTGTCCTGTCCTCTCAGCCCTCCTGGGGGGAAGAGGGACGCACGGGGCACAGGGAGAGCCATCCCCACCCACCCCTCAAGTTCTGGGGGTGAGAGTGGGCAGGAGTGGGAGGAGGGGGCCAAGACTCAAGGAAAGTAGGTGCTTGAGGCCGACGGTTCCCAGCACATCCCAGGCGATTAGGGGGCTGCCTAGAGCGGGTCAGGCATGTGTCCCCACCCAGCCCCAGCCAGCAGGAAGCAGCTGGGAGCTCCTGCCTGGAAAAGTCACCAGAGTTGGTGCAGGGCTGGGCCTGGCTCTGGGATTAGAAACCTCTGGGGTTTCTAGATGATACAGACAATTAGGTTTCTTCTCCCTAAACGCAGCGCCTTCTGCCCACCTCCGAACGTCCGCACCGCTGCCCAGTCACAGCCGCGTGTGGTCTCGATCGGGGCAGCGCTGTGAGCATGACTCCAGGGGCAGGGAACTTATTAGCCCCTTGTTGGGGGAAGTGGGG